AAATATATATAAATATATATATTAAATATCTATATATCTACTTATATGTATATATCTCTTTATCTGTACACTACATATTTATATACACTATTTACATCTTAGATTTAGCATATTAAAAAAACACCACTAAAAGTTACAAAACACACAAATTTAAAGTATTTTGAAACTATTTTATTTAATTAAATCTTAAAACGTGGTTTATTTCTACCTTTCTACCAATAATTATTTGTTTATCTACACAACATCTACATTGTGATTCTTTCTAACCAATTACTTTATACTCCCAACACTATAAAAAGTAGAATAAATTAAATCTTAAAATGTGGTTTATTTCTACCTTTCTACCAATAATTATTTGTTTATCTACACAACATCTACATTGTGATTCTTTCTAACCAATCACTTTATACTCCCAACACCATAAAAAATGGAATAAATTAAAAACAAAAAAGAGATCAAACAACACCCAAAACCTTTCATCTTATCTCCTACCCACCTCCATACTAAAAACCCAAAACTCTGTTTTTCACCCTATAGTAAACTATTTTACACACCTGTAAATTCCTACTGTCCATTTTACACACTCATGAATTCCAATTCACCCCAAAGTCTTAGAAACTTTCTCCATAAACAAAGATTAAAACCAGTGTTCTCCTAAAAATCAAAACAAACAAAAAAAAAACCAAAAAAACAACCAAAGTTCACCTCCAACATCTCTGCAGCTGCAGGACTCGAGTCCCCCGATGTTCCTCAGGACAGGGACAGGATTTGGCCACACTCAGTCCCGTGGTGGCTGTAAAGAGCAGAGGTCCAGGCCCCTCTCAACCCCAACCATCCCAATCCATCAGTGCCCACAGGAAAACCCATCCCAGACCCACTTCCCACCCATCCCAGCAGCTGAGGGCTTGGGAGCCTTGGGAATTACTCCTGTCCTCCCAGTTTTGGGGCTGGAGACTGGGCGAGATTTCCAAGGACATGTCTGGTCCCTACCGCCCTTCCCAGCATGATCCCATTCCTAATCCCTACCGCCCTTCCCAGCATGATCCCATTCCTAATCCCTACTGCCCTTCCCAGCATGATCCCATTCCTAATCCCTACTGTCCTTCCCATCAGGATCCAATTCCTAATCCTTAAACCACTGCTCCAAACAAGGTGGTCCCACTGTGCACCGGCCTAAATCCTGCGGGATCTCACCTGAGCTTAATTTCTGGCCTGAATCCTGTAGGATCACACTCGAAATCTCAGATCCCAGCCTGAATCCTGCAGGATCTCACCTGAACTTTCATTTTCTGGCCTGAATCCTGTAGAATCTCACTTGAATTCTCTGGCCTGAATACTGTAGGATCTCCCTCAAAATCTTGGTTCCCAGCCTGAGTCCTGTACAATCTCAACTGAACTCTAAGTTTTTGGCCTGAATCCTGTAAGATTTCACCTGAACTCTCAGTTTCTGGCCTGAATCTGTAGGATCTCACTGAAAATCTTGGTTCCCAGCCTGAATCCTGTAGGATCTCACCTGAACTCTCAATTTCTGGCTTGAATCCTGTAGAATCTCACCTGAACTCTCACTTTCTGCCCTGAATCCCGTAGGATCTCCCCTGAACTGTCGGTTTCTCCTCTCCACTGTCCCTCTCCTTTGTTCTTTCTCCTTTTCTGTCCTCTCTCCAGCCAAACACCTCAACGGCTCCCTGGCCATGACCAGCAGGGCCCACCGCTCTCGCCCCACAGGGGAGATCGTGGTCAACATGGAACCCGAGGTCCCCATCAAGAAGATGGACACGATGGTGAAGCTGGAAGCTGTGAGTATCCATGTGGCAGCACCTCCTTCCTCATGGAATTGCCGATTTTTGGAGGGATTTCAGCCAGAATTGGGGAGGCAGCGTGTCCCAGGGGTGTCACTCAATGTGCCTGTGCCCGTTTTTGTGCCCAGAATGGGAATTTCAACTCCTTTTCCCACCCTTCTGCTCCAGAGCTTGCTCCACAAAAAACAGATTCCTGCCAAGGTGCTCCGAGGGCTGGAGCCCCTCTGCTCTGGAGCCAGGCTGGAAGAGCTGGGAATGTTCACCTGGAGAGGAGAAGGATCCAGGGAGAGCTCAGAGCCCCTGGCAGGGCCTGGAGGGGCTCCAGGAGAGCTGCAGAGGGACTGGGGACAAGGCCTGGAGGGACAGGACCCAGGGAATGGATCCCACTGCCAGAGGGCAGGGCTGGATGGGAGATTGGGAATGAGGAATTGTTCCCTGGCAGGGTGGGGAAGGGCTGGGCTGGAATTCCCAAAGCAGCTGTGGCTGCCCCTGGATCCCTGGCAGTGCCCAAAGCCAGGCTGGATGGGGCTTGGAGCACGCTGGGACATTGGAAGTTGTCCTTGCCCATGGCAGGGGTGGGATGAGATGAACTTTAAGGTCCCTTCCCACCCAAGACTGATGATTTGCGCTCAGCTGAGGGTGTGTCCTTAACCTGCTCTCCCTCTCCCTGTTCCCTTCCATCCCGGGCGGCAGAATTCCGATGCAGTGGTGAAGGTGGATGTGGTAAGTGGTGGATCTTCTCTTCATCCCTGCTCCCAACCCCCTGCTCCCTCTCCAGCCCTTCCATGCCACTCCTGATGGACCAGGCACCCTGCCCAGCCCGAGCCAGGCAGGGACATCACCCCTCTGTCCCACGACAGAGACACAGCAGCGCTGTCCCCTCAAGGGATGTGGCAGTGGCCTCGTCCCTGCAGTTTGGGGAGCTCTTTTGGGCCAGGACTTCTCATCCCAGCTGTCCCAGGACTTCTCATCCCAGCTGTCCCAGGACAGGCAGTGCCCTGCAGGAGGGATTTGGGTATTCCCACCACAACCAGGTACCAGTTGGGAAAGGTTCCCTTGCTCCACCAAGGGAACCCCAGGTGCTTTGCCGGGCACAGTTTGACTCTTGCCATGGAAGATTCCAGAGATGTGGCCTGGGAAATGCACGGATAAATAGGATGATGGAAGTGGGGAGGTGTTGTGGGACTGCCCCACCTCTGGAAGTGTCCAAGGCCAGGTTAGATGGGGCTTGGAATGACCTGGAATGGTGGAAGGTGTCAGGATTGGAATTGGATGAGCTTTAAGGTCCCTTCCCACCCAAACCATTCCGTGATTCTGGCACTTTCTCCAAAACCTTGGTCACCCTTGGGTGTTCTGTGGCCGTAAAAGGGAGAAAGTTCATGAGGCCCCCCCAAGCCTGGGGAGTTCTCCCTCCTCAGGTGCTTCACTTTCGTACTTCCAGAAACGATTCCCTCTCACCTGATCCCTCCCCTTCCCTGTCTGTGCTTCCCTTGTCCCTTCAGACCGAGGAAGAGAAAGAGAAAAAGAAGAAGAAGAAGAAAGGAGGAGGAGGAGGAGGAGGAGGAGGTGGGGAGGAAGTGGAGGAAGAGGAGCCGGACGAGAGCATGTTGGACTGGTGGTCCAAGTACTTCGCTTCCATTGAGACGATGAAGGAGGTGGGTGAGGAGCAGCAGGGAGGGGGATCCCGGGGAGATGGTTCCCTTCCTGAGAGGTCTCCCCTAATTCCAGCTCCTCCCAAAGCCTGTGTGGAAACCCCCCCTCCTGAGGACCCCCCTGATGGGAAGAGCCCTAAAAAGTTCTGTGCCAGGATTGAGAGACAAATGGGACTTTTGTTTTCTTTTTTTGGTCTTCATGTTGTTCATTTTTGTCTTATCAAAAGTTCAAAAAAACATCTCAGACTTAGCGTACAAAGAAAGGGCACCAAAAGTCACAAGACACACGGGTTCAAGGTCTTTTAAAGCTATTTTGTCCAATTAACTCTTAGAATGTATTTTATTTCTACCTTTCTACCAATAACTAATTATTTGTCTGTTCATGCAACATCTGCATTGCGTTTTTTTCTAACCAATCCCTCTGTGGGGACTTTTGTTTTCTTTTTTTGGTCTTCATGTTGTTCATTTTTGTCTTATCAAAAGTTCAAAAAAACATCTCAGACTTAGCGTACAAAGAGAGAGTAGCAAAAGTCACAAGACACATGGGTTCAAGGTCTTTTAAAGCTATTTTGTCCAATTAACTCTTAGAATGTATTTTATTTCTACCTTTCTACCAATAACTAATTATTTGTCTGTTCATGCAACATCTGCATTGCGTTTTTTTCTAACCAATCCCTCTGTGCCACCAACACTGCAGAAAATGGAGTGGATGAAAAACATGAAGGAGATCAGACAGCGCCCAAAATTCTCCATCTTGTCTTCTATCCACCTCCATACTAAAAACCCAAACCCCAAGTTTTTCACCCTGTGGTAAACTACATTATTATCTATTTCACACACTCGTAGATTCCAATTCATCCCAAAGTCTTGGAAGCTTCCTCCATGGACGAAGAGGACTGAAAATTAGTGTTCTCCTGGGGATCAGGACTTCTCAGGACAGGCAGAGAAACATTCCCTGTGCCCTGGGTTCCAGCAATTACGGAATCCCAAAATTGTTCCGGCTGGAAAAGCCCTTGGAGACCATCGAGTCCGACCATTCCCCGGCACTGCCAAGGCCACCACTATGTCCCCAAGTGCCACATCCATGTGGCTTCAAATCCCCCTAGGGATGGGAACCCCACCACTGCCCGGGGAAGCTTTTCCAGGAAAAGATCATTCCTAATATCCAGTGGTTTCCTTTCTCCCCCAGCAACTCCGACAGCAGGAAGCGGCCGCGGCAGAAGCTGAGGAGAAGGAGGAGATGGAGATTGGAGAGGGTAAGGCTGGGAGGGAGAGAGGGAACACGGCAGGGAAAGGTGGGACCAGGATCCCTCTCGGTGCTTGGACATCCCTTTGGGAATCTGCCACGGCTCTCCAGCCAAGCCAGACACTCCCAGCATGTTGTGTTTTCCCAAAAAGGGTCGATTTTTGTGGGTTTTTGCAGGGTTTTTCCCTCCATGTTGAACTCTTTGTGTGCTGTCCTAATGTGGGCAGTGAGGACAAATACACAATTTAGGGCAAGTTCTCTCACTTAACTTATCAATTTATATAACTTTATCCATTATATATTATTTTTCACTTATTATCATTTTATAAAATTAAGAGATAAACAATGCCCTAAATGAGTTTTTCTCTGAAGGAAGTTGGGTCTGTAGGTCAGGTGGGCTTCTGACCTTGCCTAAATTTGGGGGAGACTAATTTTGTCCCAAAAATTATGCCAACCAAGAATCCTGATGCCAATCCAAGAATCCCTTGCTTTCTGGAGAGGCCCCCTTTTTTCTCCCAAATTTGCCCTAAACTTTTTTCCTCCCAAATTTGCCCTAAACCACGACACCTGGGAGTGGCTGGTCACGGGTGACTTTGTCCATCTGGCCATGCCACATGCAGGGCTGGGAAGGAATCCCTGAGGAATTCCACCCTTGCTGTCCACGTGCTCCATGTCCCCATGACAGGGGGCTGTTGTTGCGCCCAGGTGATGCAAAACCCTTCAGCTGAGTAAAATTCTGAGCCCGGTTTCTTTTGGAAGATCAATCTTTGTATCCCGGGAAAAATGAGGTCTTGTCCTGCTGAGCTTGGAGACAACTCTGAGCAGGTTCTTCTGGGCTTGCACTGGTGTCCTCTGGGGTTTTATTTCTTTTTAGAATGATCCATTTCCCTTGGCTCTCCCACTCCTTCCCCCTTTTCTCATCCATGTTTTTCCATCCGTCTGTCTGTCCCCACCACTGGATAATGTCCAGCCCTCATGAAAGCTGGCAGAGACACCAAGGGACAGGGATTGCAGAGTATTAAGGAGTTTCCCTTGAATCCACCTTTTCCAGCAGCCTCTTCCCAGCTCTCCATGGCTGGTGGTTGCTCCAAACGAGACTCTGGTGACCTGTGGTTGCAGCTGATCCTGGACAATCTGAGGGCAGCAGCATCAAGCACTGTCCCCTCTGCATTCCCAGGCTGGGGTTCCACTCCCCAGGCTCCATAAAGCAGGAGAAGTCTCTGGCAGGAGGAAGAAAAGTCACAGAATTCCCAGAATGACCAGGTTGGAAGAGACCTCCAAGATCATCGAGTCCAGCCCAGCCCCAACACCTCAACTCAACCCTGCCCCCAGTGCCACATCCAGGCTTTGTTAAACACACCCAGGGATGGTGACTGCATCACCTCTCTGGTCCCTGGGAATTCCCAAAATTCCCAAAATTCCCAGAATACACAGGATGACCAGGTTGGAAGAGACTTCCAAGACCACTGAGTCCAACCCAGTCCCAACAGCTCAGCTCTGCCCTGGCACCCAGTGCCACATCCAGGCTTTGTTAAACACACCAGGGATGGTGACTCCATCACCTCCCTGGCGTGGGCAGGACCAGGTTTTCTCACCGCTGTCAGAGGGCTCTGTCCATGTTTTGTAGTCCTCCAAGTGATTCCTGCTCAGGTCAGCCCTGGAATTCCCTGCGCAGTGATCTCTGGGCTGCTGGAGACGCTGCGATCCAGAGCCAAGGAAAGACAGGGCAGGGCTGGGATGGGACTTGCAGGCAGTGGCACCTGGCAGCTTTCATGCTCCTCTTCTTTGTCCAAGCCCTTCCAGATCTCCCCCTTCTCTCCTCACCCTCATTTCCATTCCCTCCCTCCCTCCTTTCCATCTCCTCCCTCCGCGCTGCTCCCCCCCGGACTCGGAGTGACACCAAACTTGGTGACTCTCCCATGAAAGGCTCCAAGGCCCAGGTGAAGAACAAGGACAAGGACAAGGACAAGTCCAAGGAAACCAAAGATGACAAGAAAAAGAAGCAGCAGCCTGTGCCTGAGCTTCCCGAGAAGAAGAACAAGCAGAAAATCGATGAACTCAAGGTACTGGGGGTGCTTCCGAGGAAGTACCTAACTGTGGGGATGACGTGCCTTGGGACATCTCTTCTAGGGATTTATCTTGGGATGAGGCGTCCCAGCCTCTCTCCATAGCTGGAGGTCACGAGAAAAGGGGTTTTCCTGGGATAGACTCATCCCTGGGGCAGCCTGGAGGTGTCCCAGCTCCAAGGGAGAGTTTTCCTGCTGGTCCAGCCAGGATTCAGGACAGGAGTGTGCTCTGGTTCAATGATCCCAAGGATTTCTCAGGATTCATGTCACCTGTTCTTCTGAGGTTCAGATGGGATTTAGACCTGGATCTTGCACAGAGCGGGAATAATGGCCCCACCCGTTGCTCCAAGAGTCCCTCTTTCCAACCCAATAATGCTGGAGATCCTTCTCCTTCCTAGAAAAATTAACCACTGGGAGCTGAGGTGTCCATGTTCACAGAATCCCAGGATCACTGAGGCTGGAAAAGCCCTCCCAGCCCATCCAGTCCAGGCTGTTCCTGATCCCCACCTTGTCCCCAGTCCAGGGCACTCAGTGTCACGTCCCAGCCTTCCCTGGACACCTCCAGGGATGGGCACTCCAAACCTCCCTGGGCAGCCCCTGACAAGGCCTGAGCACCCTTTCCATGAGGAAATTATTCCCAATATCCAATGTGAACCTCCCCGGCACAGCTTGAGGCCATTTCCTCTTGTCCCGCCCCTCGTTCCTTCTGAGCTGATTGAGTACTCCCCACATCTTTTTCTCACCTTCGTTTTTATCCCGAATTCCCTCCTTTTAACTTTTTTCCACCTCAGGTCTTCAACAAAGAGCTGGAAACAGAGTTTGACAACTTTGAGGATTGGCTGCACACCTTCAACCTGCTCCGGGGGAAGATTGGGGACAACGACGACAACGCCACGGAGGAGGAGCGGATCGTGGGCAGGTTCAAGGTGAGTGGTTAGGAATGCCAGCCGGGATTTTGGGGAGGTTGTTTTGGGATGGGTTTGCCTCCCTGGAGGCCCTGGGCAGCAGGACTCAGTTGGGCTTTGCCCTCCCTCGCACCAGGGCTCCATGTGCGTCTACAAAGTGCCGCTCCCCGACGACATCAGCAAGGAGGCAGGGTACGACCCCACCTTCGGGATGTTCCAGGGGATCCCCAGCAACGACCCCATCAACGTGCTGGTCCGAGTCTACATCGTGCGGGTGAGTGGGAATTTGGGGTGTGGCAGGCGGGATTTGGCACTCCCTTCCACCCGGAGCCGGTCCTGGTGCCGCAGGGATGGTGGGATTCAGCTCCAGTGCTCCAGGACTGGTGCCTTGGGAAGGCTGGACAGAGCTAAAGAATAAAGCAGGGGTTTATTCAAAGGATCTCCTCCATGGACCCACCTTGGGCAGCACAAGAGCCCAGCCAGGGCTGCACCCAAAATGAACCAAAATGGTCCCAAAATGCACAAGCGCTCATGAGGTCTGTCACTTTTATAAGTTCTGCTCCATTTGCACATTGGAGTTAATTGTCTAATTGCAGCTTTAGCCCATGCAGTCCCATCCTGCTTGTTTTCCTCTTCATTCCATGGTGTTTGTGCTCTTGGGGCTGAGATTTGGATCATTTGTCCTTGGTGCCCAGCTGGAGCAGGAATTGTTTTGTCTCCCTGCTCTGTGCACCGAGCTCACCGTCCCCTAATATGAAGCTCAGACCCACACACCAAAGCAGCACAGAATCTGAAAAATAGAAAATCTAAAACCTGAGGCATCACCAGTGCATCAGGACCCAGGATGCAGCTTGAGGACTGAAGCAGCTCCTTGGTTATGGAATGGTTTGGGTAGGAAGGGACCTAAAAGTCCATCCCGCTCCCCCCCCTGCTGTGGGCAGGGACACTTCCCACTATCCCAAGGATATCCAGACCCAACGCTGTCTCCAGGGCTGTGTGCTCCCAGCACTGGGAACAGGACAGATCCAAGCTCCTGCCAGATCCAGAGAGCTCTCTCCAGGAGGTGGGATGGACCGGCGTGTCCTGGTGCTCAGTTCCCACGGATAGTTTGGATCAGCCTGCACTGTGAGGTGTTGGTTCATTCCACAGCCACACCACCACCCCGGTGATGGTTCAGCATGGGAGAGAATGGGAGAAAAAGGGTGGAATGGGATCTGGAAGGATTGAGGAGATCCTTGTGAAGGACACGGCACCTCCTCGAACACACGTTTCATGATCGCGACGTGATCCAGCCAAAGCATTTTTCATTTACACATGGAATGTGCTCTGGGAAAAGTCACTTCCTGACCGCTGAACTAGTCATCCCCCTGTCCCCAAGGGTAGGATTCTGCAGCCAGGCACTTGGGAGGGATCTCCATCCCTCTGGAAGCACCCGGGCTGCCCTTTGCCACACCTTGTCCCAGTGTGTTACAAACAGAACCTACTTTTGGCTCCGTTTCCCACCAGCCTGGTTCTCCATCCAGAGCTGCTTCCCCCTGGGATACGCAGTCTCCCATCCATCACCAGGCTGGAATAGCAGACACCAGCTTGGTCAGCCCCCAAAACCAGCCAGGACTGGGTGGATGTGTTCTCATCTGCTGCTGTGCCTTGCTTGGAGGTGGGACTGGAGAGTTTGGGGGTCCTCACCCCCTCTCTGGGGAGAATCCAGCATGGAGAAGACATGAGGGGAAGGGGATGGATGTCTTGGTATCTTGGCCAGGTTCTTGCTGGAGGTGTTTCCTCCTCATCATCTTTCTTGCCTCTGCTGAGATTCCTTTCTTACCTCTGCTGAGGTCACTGTGGTGACATCTCAGGACAAAGCCAGTTCCACCATCTCCCTAAACCAGGATAGGGATTTACATGGGGCAGGAATATCCCCAGTGTAATCCAAGACACCATTTCATCCCCTTTTCAACCCAAGACACTCTGTTTAGGGACTGAAGCAGCCGGGTGTTCTCAGAGTGTAGGAACGTGCCCCCTGTTGAAGGAGTCACCAAATTATCCTTTGTCTGATTAAAAAGGAAAAAAAGCCCAGAAGTTTCTCTCCTCCATTTGGTAAAAAGACACCTCAAGAGGCCTTTGAGGATCTCAAGGGACCTTTGAGACTTCACCTCAAGCCTGGGGTTGCCAACTGGACAGAGGCCAAGAGGTCCCACCTAGGTAATTCACTAGAAAAGGGAGAGAACAAAGGAAATAATCACTTTTGCGGGGTGTTTTAGCAGGAGCAAGAACCTCTTGCCCCTGGCTCAGTTTTTCTCTGTAAGAGCTTTGTTATTTTACCTTTTATTAAAACTTTTTCTCTCCCCAACACTACCTCAGAAGCCATCCTGCTGATTTTATGCCGTTCGGGGTAGCTTGGGTGTGACAGCTTGGGTGTGATGGGTTCTCTGAGAGCTCCTAAGACCTGGCTCGAAGAGGAACCCATCATCAGGGATGGAGAACGGGCCCATCCCTGAATCCTTGGCTGCTGTGGACAGCGCTGACCCATCCCACCCGCTCCCTGCAGGCCACGGACCTGCACCCGGCTGACATCAACGGGAAAGCCGATCCCTACATCGCCATCAAGCTGGGCAAGACGGACATCAAGGACAAGGAGAACTACATCTCCAAGCAGCTGAACCCTGTTTTTGGGAAGTAAGTCTGCGCCTGGAGCTGCCGAGCTGGGCCCGAGCTTGCCAGCCCTCGGACCTGCAGCTGAGGTGTCCCATGGCTGCTCCTTGAGCTGGATTTATCTTTATTTATTTAGCTTTACTATTTAGCTTTACTTACAGGATTTATCCCACAATGTGGATGTCCTTCCAGGATGTCCTCCTGTGCAGGTGTCCCATGGCTGCTCCTTGAGCTGGATTTATCTTTATTTATTTAGCTTTACTATTTAGCTTTATTTATGGGATTTATCCCCCAGTATGGATGTCCTTCCAGAATGTCCTCCTGTGCCAGCCTGTGGTCAGCGTAGCATCGAGTGTTTAAGAGATGAACCTGAAATTTATCTGATCAAAGTGAAACACCCGCTTAGGAGTCATTAGACCTAAATTTGCGTGAGAATAAGACACAAACTCAGCTTCAGGGGTGTTGGGACATCCAGGTCAAGGATTTTCCTTCCTGTCAAGGGCTGGTGGTTTCTCGGGTTTCCTGCTGTTGGGATGACCCAAGAGCCCATTTTTCCTAGCCCGATGGTCAAAGAAAGTGTTGGAATTTTTTGGCTCTGGTTCACAAGGTTGTCGACAACTACTATTACGCTGCTTAAAATTCTGTGACTTGTAATTGTTCATGCCAAGTTGGTAACTTGCTCCGTGGGTTAAGATCGAAATCCCGAGGGACTGGGGGCACTGGTGGGACTGGGAGGAGGGGTGAGGTCAGGGCTGAAATTGGAGCAGAGCAAATGGAGTGATGCCGAGCATCAGGAATCAAGCGGGATGCACTGGGAATTCCAGGTCTGAGCCAAAGTGGGGTGGAAGGTGTTTGCAAAAAGGGCACAGAGGGATCAACTCTGCTCTGAAGTTTCATCTTTGCTGCCTCAAATTCTTTCCCTGGGAATTCTGGGGTTTTTGTGGGGGTATTTTTCTGGCAAAAGGGAAAAAAAATTATTTGTTTTCACAACGTTTTTTGTCTGATCTCGCCCTCCTGTTCCCAGCCACGGGTACAACACCTGGCGTGACCCCATGAAGCCCTCCCAAATCCTGTCCAAGCTGTGCAAAGAGGGAAAAGTGGATGGGCCGCACTTTGGGCCAGGGGGAAGAGTGAAAGTTGCCAACAGGGTCTTCACCGGCCCCACGGAGATCGAGGATGAAAATGGTATGGCCCTGTGGGATCATCCCATGGGATGGAGGTTCTGGAGCAGAGCAGGGGTTTGGGGGGGGTCTCCTCATCATCCAGGGTTGGAATCTCAGAGTAGATTGAATCATGGAGTGGTTTGAAATGGACCTTCCAGTCCAATCCCCCCAGACAGACGTGGTGGGCGCATCACCCAGCCCTGCAGGCACCATCCCAGTACAGACCAGTTACAGAGTGAGAGTCCTACAGACCCTCCAGACCAGCGGGTTCCTCTTGGAATCACTCAAGGAACATCCACGGACACCCAAAGCTGCCTCTGGAAATGCTCTCTGAGCAGTGCATGTCCCAGGAGCCATGGAGACACCTCACGGCTTTTCCATTGTTTAGGAGAGTGTTATCCATGGGAATGCATTCCCAAACAATGGGAGATGAGGGTTGTGGCCCAACACACTCACATGTACCCAAGAAAGAGGGAAATAGCCCAGGAAGGGTGAAGGAAAGAAGGCAAACATGGTCAGGGGACATGGGACTGGTTCAGAGAGGAAAAACTGAATGGGGATCTGAACCTTACAGGGATTAGAAGGATGTAAGAGGAGTTAGGAAGTACCAGCTGAGGGACAAAGTGTTCCCAAGGGATGGAGAGGATGAGGCAGTTCTGCACCTTGGGATACTTCTGCAACCCTTGGGACAAAGTGTTCCCACAAAGGATGGAGAGGATGAAGGAGTCCTGCACCTTGGAACAGTTCTGCAACCCAGCTCGAGCCACCCAGGGCACCCAGAGGTGTGTCCTGGCTTCCGACAGTGGTTGAGTTTAACCCCACCTCAGGTGGTGATGGATGCAGACAGAACAACATCCATGGGCTGGAGCAGACTCACCTCTGTCCTGAGCAGCAGCCAGACCCTACAGCAGCTTTTCTCTGCTTCCCCCAACCCCAGATCCTTCGACATCGAGGCCACCTTCCCCATGGAGTCCATGCTGACCGTGGCTGTGTACGACTGGGATTTGGTGGGCACTGATGACCTCATTGGGGAGACCAAGATTGACCTGGAGAATCGCTTCTACAGCAAGCACCGGGCGACCTGCGGCGTGTCCCAGACCTACTCCATGTATGGGAAAAGCCTCCCCTGCCCCACCTCACACCTGGACCCTCCTCTGTGTCACTTCCCACCCAGAGCTCCCCCAGGAATCTCCCCCCCTTGGCTGCCTGCTGGTCCTGGAATGATTTGTTTTTGGGAAAAACCTCACGTTGACCAATCCTGCAAGGGGCAGGGATGAATGGAGGAGTCTGTGCTGTCCCTGATTTTTCCACCAGCATTAGGGAGTGGTGGGAAGTACCAGCTGAGGGACAAAGTGTTCCCAAGGGATGGAGAGGATGAGGCAGTTCTGCACCTTGGGATACTTCTGCAACCCTTGGGACAAAGTGTTCCCACAAAGGATGGAGAGGATGAAGGAGTCCTGCACCTTGGAACAGTTCTGCAACCCTTGGGACAAAGTGTTCCCAAAGGATGGAGAGGATGAGGCAGTTCTGCACCTTGGGACAGTTCTGCAACCCTTGGGAGAACTTTGTCCCAAGGGATGGAGAGGATGAGGCAGTTCTGCACCTCGAGACAGTTCTGCACTCCTTGGGAACACTTTGTCCCAAGGGATGGAGACGATGAGGCACTTCTGCACCTTGAGATACTTCTGCAACTCTTGGGACAAAGTGTTCCCAAAGGATGGAGAGGATGAGGCAGTTCTGCACCTCCAGATACTTCTGCAACTCTTGGGACAAAGTGTTCCCAAGGGATGGAAAGGCTGAGGCAGTTCTACACCTTGGAGCACGGGTGGAGGCCCTGGGTGCTTTGCTGTCCCTGTGTCCCTGTCCCAGCTGTCCGAGCTCTCCTTTGTCCCCCAGGCCAGAAGAAGCCGACGGACGAGCACCTGGCGCTGGCAGTGCTGCGGCACTGGGAGGACATCCCGCGGGCCGGCTGCCGCCTGGTCCCCGAGCACGTGGAGACGCGGCCGCTGCTCAACCCCGACAAGCCGGGCATCGAGCAGGTCCCACCTTCCAACGGGAATGGGGGCAGCCCGCGGGGGCCAGCGCGGCCCTAACCCACCTCAGGGTGGGGAGGACACCCTGGGAGGCTGGCAGAGAAAATCTCCAGTGCCTCCTGATCCGTCCTCATCCATTTCACATCTCACAGCCGCTCATTATTCCCTACATCTGGGTACCTGGGAGAAAAATTCCCAACAGATTCCCAAGCAGAAGGGACTGGGAGCCCCCAGGCTGCCACACACAAAAGGCAGTGCTGGGAATTCCCTGGAGACCCCGAACCTCCTGGAGCCCTCAGGAGGACTCTAAACCCATTTTGGGGGGGAATCACAGCCCTGCTGAGTAAAGGGAGGAGAGCGGGAAGAGAGCTGGGCTCTGGTTGTTTTGCAGACCCAGTTTTGGTCAGAAATCTCCCAAAATCCAAGCCTGGGCTGCCCCATTGAGCCCTTGGCAAGCTCTTTGCAGAGGCTGGGAGCAGAGGAGGGAAAGCTCCCCTTGGAGATTGGCTCACCCTGGCGAGGCTGATCCGAGCTCACGTGGAGATCATGGAATCATGGAATGGTTTGGGCTGGGTGGGCCTCAAAACCCATCCAGTTTCACCCCCTCCATGAGACGTTTCTGCAGGGGTGGAGAAGGATTTGTGGCATGGGAGAAGCTTGTCCCACTCCACATCTGGCATGGCCGGGGTGACGGCTGTGGGAAGAGGGGGACACTGGTGGAGAGGGGACAGGAGGGACGAGGGGAGCTGACCGTGCCTCTCCCATCCTGCAGGGCCGCCTGGAGATGTGGGTGGACATGTTCCCCATGGACATGCCAGCGCCCGGCCCTGCCATCGACATTTCTCCCAGGAAACCAAAGAAGTAAGGAACTTACTTAAGGAACTTACTGGGATTGGTTGGCAGCCCAGAAGAAAAATGGGGAAGGAAAAGGGGAGGTTGGGGATGGAGCCCTGTGGTTGAACCTGCAGAGGCTGGGAGCAGAGGAGGGAAAGCTCCCCTTGGAGATTGGCTCACCCTGGTGAGGCTGATCCGGGAGATCCCATGGAGATCATGGAATCCTGGAATGGTTTGGGAGGGAAGAGACCTTAAAGTTCATCTCATCCCACCCCCTGCCATGGGCAGGGATAGCTTCCACTATCCCAGGGTGGTCCCAGCCCCATCCAAGACTTGGGAAACTCCCAGGGATCCAGGAACAGCCACAGCTGCTCTGGGAATTCCAGACCAGCCCCTCCTCACCCTGCCAGCCAGGAATCCCTTCCCAAGACCCCATCCAGCCCTGCCCTCTGGCAGTGGGATCCATTCCCTGGGTCCTGTCCCTCCAGGCCTTGTCCCCAGTCCCTCTGCAGCTCTCCTGGAGCCCCTTCAGGCCCTGCCAGGGGCTCTGAGCTCTCCCTGGATCCTTCTCCAGGTGAACATTCCCAGATGTCCCAGCCTGTCCCCATGGGAAGAGTCCCATCCCTGTAATCATCTCCATGGTTGAGATCCCCTCCTGTCCCTGATCCTGCCCAACAGATCCCTGGGACAGATCCCTGTGAGCAATTCCAGTTTCCTGGCAGCTGGCCCTGCTTCCTGGCAGCACCACCCTGACTTCTCCGCTCCCATTCCCTGCTCCCATTCCCTGCTCTCATTCCCTGCTCCCATTCCCTGCTCCCGTGCCTCACCTCCCTCTCCCTCCCTCGGGCAGGTACGAGCTCAGGGTGATTGTGTGGAACACCGATGAGGTCATCCTGGAGGACGACGACTACTTCACCGGCGAGAAATCCAGTGACATTTTTGTCAGGGGGTAGGTACAGCCTGGAATTCCACCGGGGAGAAATCCAGTGACATTTTTGTCAGGGGTTAGGTACAGCCTGGAATTCCACCAGGGAGAAATCCAGTGACATTTTTGTCCAGTGGTAGGTCCAGGCTGGAATTCCGCCAGGGAGATATCCAGGGACATTTTTGTCAGGGGTTGGTACAGAATTCCACCAGGGAGAAATCCAGTGACATTTTTGTCAGGGGTCGGTTCAGAATTCCACCAGGGAGAAATCCAGTGGCATTTTTGTCAGGGGTCGGTTCAGAATTCCACCAGGGAGAAACCCAGTGACATTTTTGTCAGGGGGTAGGTACAGCCTGGAATTCCACTGGCACTTCCTCCTCCTCTCCCAGGTGGGCACCAGTCCCCGCGGGGGTGGGACACGGGCAGTGCTGGGGGACCCCAAAACCAGCCAGGGCTGGGCGGATGTGTTCTCATCTGCTGCTGTGCCTTGCTTGGAGGTGGGACTGGAGAGTTTGGGGGTCCTCACCCCCTCTCTGGGGAGAATCCAGCGTGGAGATCACACGAGGGGAAGGGGATGGATGTCTCGGCATCTTGGCCAGGTTCTTGCTGGGGATGTTTCCTGAGAGTCTCTTTCCTGCCTCTGGTGAGATTCCAAAGATGCTGCTGGCTTTTCCTGCCTCTCCCCCTCTCCTTGGCTGCACATCCGGTGGGCCCTGCTTGGAGCTGCTTGTCTGGAGCTCCACTGGGGTGGTTTTGGATGGTGACAATTTCCTGGTGGGAGAGGAGATGCCGGGCATTGCGGAGGCTGAGAGACACGGACCATGCTGTATGCATGCAAAGCCAGTTTATTATGCAAATTACCAGTTCTAATTTACAGTTATACTAATTACACTTAAATTATGCTAATTTACATTTCCCTAACTTCCACACAAAATTTCCCACTCTGCCCCTGTTCCATTAGCAACACAATCTTTTCTGTTATGAAGTCCCTGTTACATCCTCTTGCACCAGCGATGTCCTTGCTACATCTTCTCTCCTCAGAGCAGTCAGAGTGACCAGATGTGATGTCTTGATTTTTGTTCTTACCTTGAGTTTATCTCTCCCACGTCTTCCACTGCACCAGGGCCAGGAGGTTGGTGGCACTGCCCAGCTCAGCTTCTGTCCATGTGACATCTCTGTCAGGGGGTGACGAGGCCTCGTTGCTTGTGGCGCCTTTAGGACCTAACTCAGGTGCTAATGATGCCTCAGGTTTTAGCTTTTGTATTTATATATCTTTATATTTTGTATCTTTTCACATTCTGTGCTGCTTTAGTGTGTGGTCTAGATTCACATTAGGGGACGGTGAGCTCTGTGCACAGAGCAGGGAGACAAAACAATTCCTGCTCCAGCTGGGCACCAAGGACAAATGATCCAAATCTCAGCCCCAAGAGCACAAACACCGTGGAATGAAGAGAGGAAAACAAGCAGGATGGGAGTGCAGGGGCTGAGCTGGGATTGGACACTGAACTGCAATGTGCACATGGAGCAGAGCTGATCCCAGGGAGAGACCCCGTGACCATCGTGCATTTTGGGACCATTTGGGTTCATCTTGGCTGCAGCCCTGGCTGGGCTCTTGTGCTGCCCAAGGTGCTTCCATGGAGGAGATCCTTTCCATAAATCCCTGCTTTATTCTTTAGCTCTGTCTCTGTTCTAGCTCAGCTTTCTCAAGGCATCAGTTTTGGTGACCACCAAAAGGGGCAGAAAACATCTGGAAAACCCCCTGGATGAGGAGCACCCAGCTCCTGCCCCAACTCCTGCCAGCACTCCCAGGAGGGGTCCCAGCTGCGGTCCAGAAGGTGTCACACAAAATACCACCTTCATTCAGAGGATTCCTGGGCTCTGAGACCTTCTGGACCTCAGCTGAGGACCCCCGGGCGTGCTGGTGAGAGTGAGGGGCAGCAGCTGGGTGTTCCTCTGGCCCAGGGGTTTTCCAGATGCTTTGGTGTCCTGGCAGAGTCGCCAAAAACTGATGCCTGGAGAGGCCACCTAGAACAGAGGCTGGACAGAGTTAACGGAATAAATAGGGATTAATAAATAATAATAATAGGGATTTATTAAAAGGCCTCCAAAGGATACACCTTGGGCAGTATGAGAGCCTACACCCGAGATGGATTCTGAATCACGAGTTTTCATACTTTTATAAGTTTTGGTCCATTTGCATATTGGGGTTAATCATCCAATTACAGCTTTAGGTTATGAAGCCCCATCCTGCTTGTTTTCCTCTCTTCATTCCACGCTGTTTGTGCTCTTGGGCTGAGATTTGGATCATTTGTCCTTGGTGCCCAGCTGGAGCAGGAATTGTTTTGTCTCCCTGCTCTGTGCACAGAGCTCACCATGCCCTGATGTGGAACCCAGACCCACGCACTAAAGCAGCACAGAATCTGAAAAATAGAAAATCTAAAACTTAAAGCACCATTCAGTCCCCTCTGCCCCTCCCTGAGCTTGTCTGGATGCCCCCTCGTGGCATTTCCACCCTGCCAGCTCCAGGCCCAGAGTCTGGAGACAAGCTGGTGGTGCTGTTCTGTTGGTTTGTTCCCATCTCTGCTTCACCCTCCTTCAGCAGGAAGGGAAAGCCCCTTCCAGAACTTCACCACGCCAGAGAGTCACGGAATCATGGAATGCTTCGGGTGGGAAAGGACTTTTAACCTCATCCCTGCCCTTGCCATGGGTGTGGACATCTTCCAGGCTGCTCCAGACCATGGTTCTCTCTCAACAGACAAATCCTGTGGGATGCAGCTCAAGGAATCCAAGCAAAACCCTCAGCTCTGAGGAGACCTTGGAGCCATCCCAGCAGCTCCATCCTCTGGAATTTGAGGACCTTCCATCCCTGGAAGTGTCCAAATCCAGGTTGGACCAGGCTTGGAACAGCCTTGGGCACTTCCAGGGATCCAGGGGCATCCACAGCTGCTTTGGGCACCCTGTGCCAGGCCCTCCCCACCCTCACAGGGAACAATTCCTGCCCAATGTCCCATCCAAATCTCCCCTTTTCCAGTGGGATTGCCATTCCCATTGTCCTGCTACTCCAGTCCCGTGTCCAAAGTTCTGATCCCTTTCCATCCTGCTCTGCTCCAGCCTCCCCAGCTCCTGTACAATTCCCTAACATCTCCTCCCCCAGGGTAAACCCTCGGACACCCCCCCTTGAATCTCCCCCTCCCGAAGTTCTCCGTTCCCTCTGGGATCCTCCTGCCCCTTGGATTTGCCGCTGCACTGCCTGGAGCAGCCCCATCCCCTTGTTCATCTCTTTTAGGTTTCTCCAGTCCTGGAGGCGCCCTGGCTGCCTGGACAGGGTGTTCCTGTCCCCCCTCCTGCCCCACGTAAACCCGTGTGCCCCTCTCACCTCTCACGGCAGTTTCCAGCCGGGTTTTGCCTGGTGGATAATTTTTTTGCCTGGTTTTGCCTGGAGCCAGGATATCTCAATGGAGGCTCAGAACAGCATCTGAACTCCCAAGCAGTTCCCAGCTGCAGGCAGCCAAGCAAGCTATAGTGATTATCAGCTCCTAGTGACTGAAATAAAGGGGCAGGAGATCTTTCTCCTTTTTAATGCCTTCATTAAAGAGAATCAGCTCAGGTGGGGAGAACCAACGGCACCCACGCCGCCGCTGCTCCCAGGAGTGGCACAGAGGAGGAGGATGATGATGATGCAGCTGTGTCCGCTGGTCTGCAGGCAGAGCTGGGGATTCCATCCTCACGGGAGATCAGGAGGTTCCGCTTTTCCAGTCTAACATTTCAGGTCCTCTCTCTTGTTAACATCTTTTCAGGTTAGGGTGAGAAGTACAAAGGATCTTAGCAGATACTGGATTACATTCCTTATCCTTAGACATCACGTAGGTCTCTTCATTCTATGTTGGCTCGTTGTTTTTAGGGGTTTTCCTGGAAAACTGCAAAATTTGGCGAAATGCATTCTCATCTGCATTCTGGAATTTCCTAGCTCAGGCTTCTGGCCTCCAAGGAGGCCTTGCAGACCTTGGGCCTGCTACAGTAAGGGTCGGGGAAAGTGACCTATAGGCTTAGAGGGAGATAAGCAGGATCCCAAAGGTGAAAGAGAGGGGCTTTTAAGGCCCAGCCATCATGACTTGGCACGAATTTCCTAGCTCAGGCTTCTGACATCCAAGGAGGCCTTGCAGGCCCTGGGCCTGCTACAGTAAGAGTTGGGGAAAGTGACCTACAGGCTTACAGAGAGATAAGCAAGGTCCAAAAGGAGGAAGAGAGGGGCTTTTAAGGCCCAGCCATCATGAATTGGCATTTCCTAGCTCAGGCTTCTGGCCTCCAAGGAGGCCTTGCAGGCCCTGGGCCTGCTACAGTAAGGGTCGGGGAAAAGTGACCTACAGGGAGATAAGCAGGGTCTGAAAGCAAAAAAGTGACTTACAGGGAGATAAGCAAGGTCCAAAAGGAGAAAGAGAGGGGCTTTTAAGGCCCAGCCATCATGACCTGGCAATTCCTAGCTCAGGCTTCTGGCCTCCAAGGAGGCCTTGCAGGCCCTGGGCCTGCTACACTCACCCCCTGGGCCCTGCAGGTGGCTGAAGGGGCAGCAGGAGGACAAGCAGGACACGGATGTCCATTACCACTCCCTCACTGGGGAGGGCAACTTCAACTGGCGCTACATCTTCCCCTTCGACTACCTGATGGCCGAGGAGAAGATCGTCATCTCCAAGAAGGAGTCCATGTTCTCCTGGGACGAGACCGAGTACAAGATCCCGGCCCGCCTCACCCTGCAGGTCTGGGATGCCGACCACTTCTCAGCCGATGATTTCCTGGGTACGTGGAGGGTCCAGAGCACCCCACAAACCCCCCTGAGCTGCTGCTGGGTGGAGCGGGTGGGCTGAGAGGGCAGGGAGGGTCTGCAGAGGGTTCTGGACAGGCTGGATCCATGGCTGAGGACAAGTGCTGAGCTGGGGTCACAGCAACCCCACTGAGTGCGACAGGCTGGGACAGAAGGGTGGGAAAGGCCTGGGGTTGCTGTGCCAGTGGCTAGACACGAGCCCAGGGGTGGGCAAGAGGCCACTGGCCCCTGGGCTGTGCCAGCTCTGGGGTGGCAGCAGGGCCAGGGCAGTGCCCGTCCCCTGTGCTGGCTCTGGACATCCAGTGCCCTGGGCTGGGGACAAGGTGGGGATCACTCACAGCTTAGACTCGAGGGTCTGGGAGCACTTTTCCAACACCCATGTCTCCATGATTCTGAGATCCCTTTTCTCCACTGCTCCTGTAGCCCAGACACCCCGTGTTCCTTCCCAGAGCTGGCTCAAAGCTGCTCCCCAGGGCAGGAGATGCTGGTCCAGCCCATCTCCAGCCAAGGGCTTTGCCTTTCTGGCATGCCAACCTCTGTCCTCCCCTTTGTCCTGCCAGGGGCCATCGAGCTGGACCTGAACCGCTTCCCCCGGGGAGCCAAGACGTCCAAGCAGTGCAGCCTGGAGATGGTGACCAACGAGGCTGAGCTGCCCATGATCTCCATCTTCAAGCAGAAGCGGGTCAAGGGCTGGTGGCCGTTCGTGGCCAGAGATGAGAACGATGAGCTGGAGATCACCGTAAGGCTGGGGAAAAGGGAGGGTTTGCCTCCTGGGCTCTGCACTCCTTGTGGACACCCTGCATCCGCCCACGTGGCTTTGTTCCTTCTGGGCTGGGAGCACGACCCAGCCCTCAGCACAGCTCTCTGAACCCTGCAGGGCAAAGTCGAGGCTGAGCTGCACCTTCTGACAGCAGAGGAGGCTGAGAAATCCCCTGCTGGGCTGGCAAGAAATGAGCCTGATCCTCTGGAGAAACCCAAGTGAGTGGGAGAAGCCTCTCTGCAGCAGGGACCTGGGATTAGGGGATTCTGCTCCTGCCTGGGGTGCTGCATCCAGCTCTGAGCCCCAAAACAGGAAAGATGTGGACCTGCTGGAAAGGGGCTAGAGCAGGCCACGGAGGTGTTCTGAGTCTGGAGCCCCTCTGCTCTGGAGCCAGGCTGGCAGAGCTGGGGGTGCTCACCTGGAGAGGAGAAGGATCCAGGGAGAGCTCAGAGCCCCTGGCAGGGCCTGAAGGGGCTCCAGGAGAGCTGCAGAGGGACTGGGGACAAGGCCTGCAGGGACAGGACCCAGGGAATGGCTCCCACTGCCAGAGGGCAGGGCTGGATGGGAGATTGGGAACTGGGAATTGTTCCCTGGCAGGGTGGGCAGGCCCTGGCACAGGGCTTGGAGCTGGGGCTGCCCCTGGATCCCTGGCAGTGCCCAAGGCCAGGCTGGACAGTGCTTGGAGCAACCTGGGATAGTGGAAGATGCCCCTACCCATGGCAGGGAGTGAAACAAAACAAAACAAAAATTAACTTTAAGGTCCATGAATCCCTTTCCCACGGCGACGGATTAACGATGGGTGTTTGTTTCCCCTGCAGCCGCCCGGACACGTCGTTCATCTGGTTCCTGAACCCGCTCAAGTCCATCAAATACCTCATCTGCACCCGCTACAAGTGGCTGATCATCAAGATCGTGCTGGCCCTGCTGCTCCTCGTCATGGTGGCCCTGTTCCTCTACAGCATGCCCGGATACATGGTCAAGAAGCTGCTGGGAGCATGAAGGGCTGGAGCCTCTCCCGTGCCCCTAGCCCCAGGCACAACCTTCCCAGCCCCGTGTCCTTCTCCTCCCCGTGACCTCTGGGCAGCCCTGGGAGCATTTCCTCCCTGCTGCTGGGTCTCCTCTTGCATTCCTCCTCTGTGGGTCCCACTCAGTGCCAGGGAAATGGGGCAGGAGCAGGGCACAGACCCCACTCTGCATCCCACACCAGGGCTGGGAGAGCTGCCCAGCTGGCTCCTGTGGGGCTCCCCGAGCCTTCTGACCAGTGGGGTTGTGGCTGGTGCCTTCCTGGGAATCAGGGGAAGGAGAGGGGAGCTGGGGCTGTGTCGCTGGAGCTGTGGGCGTGCTCCAGAAAGGCTCCTTGGAGGGATGTTCAGAATCCAGGATGGAGCAGGGAGCTGGGCTGGAGCAGCTGGGGATGTGCCAGCCCCAGCACGGAGAGGGCACAGAGCATCCCCAGTGCCTGACCCTGCTCCACTCAGAGCTCTGGAGGTCACATTCCCTGGCACAGGGATCTGTCCTTCTTCAATAATGCTGGACATGGTGCCCAGCAGTGAGGGCACAGAGCATCCCCAGTGCCTGACCCTGCTCCTCTCAGAGCTCTGGAGGTCACATTGCCTGGCACAGGGAGCTGTCCCTCTTCAATAATGCTAGTGCCCAGCAGTGAGGGCACAGAGCATCCCCAGCACCATCCCTCCTCCTTTTTGAGCTCTGGAGGTCACATTGCCTGGCACAGGGAGCTGTCCCTCTTCAATAATGCTAGTGCCCAGCAGTGAGGGCACAGAGCATCCCCAGTGCCTGACCCTGCTCCACTCAGAGCTCTGGAAGTCACGCTCCCTGGCACAGGGATCTGTCCCTCTTCAATAATGCTGGTGCCCAGCAGTGAGGGCACAGAGCATCCCCAGCACCATCCCTGCTCCACTCAGAGCTCTGGAAGTCACGCTCCCTGGCACAGGGATCTGTCCCTCTTCAATAATGCTGGTGCCCAGCAGTGAGGGCACAGAGCATCCCCAGCACCATCCCTGCTCCACTCAGAGCTCTGGAAGTCACGCTCCCTGGCACAGGGATCTGTCCCTCTTCAATAATGCTGGTGCCCAGCAGTGAGGGCACAGAGCATCCCCAGCACCATCCCTGCTCCACTCAGAGCTCTGGAAGTCACGCTCCCTGGCACAGGGATCTGTCCCACCTTGGGAATGCTGGACATGGTGCCCAGCAGAGTGAGAGGGCACAGAGCATCCCCAGTGCCTGACCCTGCTCCTCTCAGAGCTCTGGAGGTCACATTGCCTGGCACAGGGAGCTGTCCCTCTTCAATAATGCTGGTGCCCAGCAGTGAGGGCACAGAGCATCCCCAGTGCCTGACCCTGCTCCTCTTGGAGCTCTGGAGGTCACATTGCCTGGCACAGGGATCTGTCCCACCTCGGGAATGCTGGACAAGGTGCCCAGCAGTGAGGGCACAGAGCATCCCCAGTGCCTGACCCTGCTCCTCTTGGAGCTCTGGAGGTCACATTGCCTGGCACAGGGATCTGTCCCACCTCGGGAATGCTGGACAAGGTGCCCAGCAGTGAGGGCACAGAGCATCCCCAGTGCCTGACCCTGCTCCTCTTGGAGCTCTGGAGGTCACATTGCCTGGCACAGGGATCTGTCCCACCTCGGGAATGCTGGACAAGGTGCCCAGCAGTGAGGGCACAGAGCATCCCCAGTGCCTGTCTGTCATTACTGAGTAAGAAAAGACAGACTCACCAGAAGGCTGGTTTGCACAGCAGCCGCTTCAATACGAAAATTCCCTCTTTTTATAGACTGTTCTGATTCAGACCAGATTGGTCAATCAATCAATACATTTCACCTGATTGGCTAATTAACAAAACCACCTTTCCTATAAACAATCTTTGAGAAAAACAGGAAGACAGAGAGTAGGAAAACACCACCTCCAGGTTGTTTATAATAACAAGCTATCATCATTTCTCTACAACTCCCTGAAGTCTCGCAAGTCCACCCTGAGAAAACGTATCTGGTTTTCTTACTCTCTGACCAGGCTGTCACATCCACACCTGCCCCCACTGCCAGCACCATCCCTGCTTGGAGCTCTGGAGGTCACATTCCCTGGCA